GGGGGGCGGCACATTCGACCTCATACTCCTGTACTAGTAGGAACAAATCTGTTTTATTTCTCCTTCAATAAATAAAAGAACAAGAGATCATGACATTTTATTAAATTACTGTGACAACTTGTCTCATTTAGGGACCAGTTTCTTTACAAAATATAAACCAAGGTACAAAATTTTTTTTAATGCACAGAACATTGAGGTAGGCAACCAGGTACTGGTACTAATACTGAAGGTGATTTGCCATTTACAAAAAAAAGTACATTGTTTCATTCAGATATCTAGATTTTAGATGATATTTCACATGATCGTCGGTCGTGGCAAGCTAGAAAATAATAAGCAGGGGTATGGAATATGGAGCAGAAGAAGGAAGGGGGTGCTTTGTTTGGTTTGTTTTTTTGGTAAGTGTTTTATGGTGCTCTCAACTGCATAAGGCCATATGAGCGCGAGACGCACCTAATGTTTTCAGTTGGTAGGATATTTATTTTGAATTTTGCCCAAGTGGCAGCCGAAGCCTACTCTTGTCGATTTTGGACCACCAAGGGATCTTTAACGTGCACAACTTGTACACAGGACCTCCGTGATTATTCGCCCTTGTCCGAGAAGGCTAGATGTATATCTTTCTCACCAGAAGATCAAGGGTGAGGCTGAACGACAGCAGTTGTGAGTAAGAAAGAGCCAAGGAGAAGTAGTGGAAAGGTTGCAGAAAGAGTCAGGAGCCCAGAGGAGGGGGTAAAAGAGATGAGGGAGTGGGGGCAGAAAGTGGAGACCAAAGCAGACGACAGAATATTGCTAGAGAGCAGGGGGGGGGGGTGCGAAAAAAAGAGCAACAACTGAAAATTGATAAGCGGGGTGGGGGTGGGAAGACGCTTATTCGATACCCTAGAGTATGCCGAAACAGCACTCTTGTCCTGCAAGCTGATGTGACTGTATACGGGGACAGGATTCCAGTCTAGGATTAGAATAGCTCCTTGGGAATAATCTTTGATACCCCCCCCCCAAATCCTAGTTGTAATCTCATTAGCAAAGGTGAAAAGATCAAACAAGTCCAACAGTTTAAATATCTAGGATATATGATAACATCTGA